CCTCCTCTCCTCTCCCTCTGCCCACCCCCCCTGCTTGTTTACTTGTTGTTGCTGCTGTTGCTGTTCTGAGACAGCCCAAACAGGCCTGGAATTCAATATGTAGAATAGGCAGGCCTCAAGCTTGGAGATCTACCGGCCTCTGCCTTCAAGGGCTGGGATTAGGTGTGGGACACCATAGCCAGCTGAAAATTTTAAAAATACACTTGTCACTAAAAGCAAATGGAACACTTTCATCTTGGCAATTGTTAAATACTGTTAATACACAAAAAAATGAATCGCAGTTACCTTACAAAATTATAACCAAAACACACACAAGTACACATTTCCAGTGTTTATTTTCTAGATGCATGAACAAGTTCCTTGTCAATTTCAATGCCACCAAGCATACTTATTAGAATGAAAATGTATTCATGGAATGTACACAGCACCTGCTGCTGAGGTTACAGAATTATACGGCTGTACAGAAGTAACTCAAATAATCACAAACTATACTTACCAACTAGCTAAACATATCTTGAAAGAATGCCTCACTGTGAGCTTATGGTTATTCTAGAAGGGAGAATTATTCTAGAAGGGAGACTCAGGTTCCATTGCAATGCCAGGAAGAAAGTGATGAAGGGGCCTGGAGGGACATGGCCAAGGAAGAGCTCAGGACCAGGTGTAGCCAGACTGAGACTCTAATCTTGGCTCCGTTACTAATTAGCAGTGTGACTGAGGGCATATCACTTAATCCCCCTGGCTTCAGCTTCCACCATGGCAGCCCAGAGGCAAGCTCTGATTCAGGCCACAGCAGACTCCCAAAGCAAAGCTGCAGTGCTCCACTCCTACCAGCAGGGAACATGCATGCAGAAAGTTGGGTGGCTGGCTGGTACAGACCTAGTTCCAGCCAAGTCACCTATGGTGGGCTCTCAAGCACTAGGATGGGGTGATACAGCATAGCCAGATCAATGTGGGGTCACCTGCACCTGCACAACTTAACAATGAAGGCTTTCCTTTGTTGTAATACTTATTCAGAACATTCTGACCAAGTCCTGTGGGCAGTACGATGATGTGCTAACATCAACTTCCCTCCCACCTCGGATTTCCAAATGAACTTATCTGAGGATCTGGATAATACATGGCCAGAACTTTCCAATATACATATTGGGATAAAAATGATGCTTATGAAACTTTTCTCCTCTCACTTCTGGCAGAATCACTATTAGTTGTGGTTGCCCCCCACTCCTTAAAGAACAAAGTTTCACAAAATTTCAGGAGCTAACTTCAAAATTCAGAACACTGTCTCTTGAAGCCGCAAGGGCCAATGCTAACACCCTGAGGGCAAAGCAGACAGCCAGGAGCAGGCAGGTGTGAACCCCATTCCCTGACAATCTAAAGTGGCGGCTAAACTGTCTAGATTTTCAAGATAGGGTAGGAATCTGGAATTCCTCACAAAATACTCAATTTTTTAATATAAGCAACTAAGTTCTAGTTTTAAGCATTCTAAACACCGAACAAAAAACACCTTTAGGCTATACCTTGCTCCAAGATTATTTCCTATATGCAATTATCTTAAAAAGTGGCCATAAAGCCTTCTGTTTAAGAGAAGTTGCCCTGCACCATCGGTTTATCACACTGTTACATCTGAAGAAGAAAGTCTGTTTTTGTCCTTTATATACATCCTGATGCTAAGCTCAGGTGCGCTGAATCCCAGGGCAGAGCCCAAGCCTAGCTGTATATGGCACACCACTCTACAACGTGATCCTGAGCCTTGAGTTCCCGCCTGTGAAAATGGTGTGTTCATGCATATACTTTGTTTTGCTTTGCCTCAGCACTGAGACTTCTGGCTCTAGTATTCATGAGGTTTGGAAACTCTCCACTGAGGCGAATCAGAAAAACGAGCTGAGAAAAGTCAAACTAAAGCCAGAAGCTGTAGTCCAAATACACTTTCTTTAGTTCATTTCCGTTTCTCCTACTTTTCCTGGAGGAGGGGTAGAGAGAGGGAAGAGGAAATGTGACAGAAGTGTACCCTCCCCATCTTGCAGGAATGAAATGTTCCTCTGAGCATGTAGGTCCTCCCCACTAGTGATGAGACGCCTCAGGGACACCTGCTCAGTCAGTCAGGGAATCCACTGCCCAGAGCATCTTTTAACTCCAGAATTGTATCTTTTTACAACCACATGGAGATACTCCCTTGTCATAATTCACAAAAAAAAAATTACAGTGAGCTGGAAGCTTGAGTGCAAAGAGCTTCTGACCCACTGGAAGGCAGAAAAGAAGCACAAACCAGTCACAGAGGCTGGGGAGCAACTGTCACAAGGCACCCAAACAAGGAAAGCCTCCACACTGCTAATGTAGTCTCTGTCCACGGGCAGGACTCTGAGGAACTTGCCCAGTGAGTCTGGACAGATCCTCCCCTGTGTTACAGGGACCGTGACAGTATTATCTCCACAGGGGGTTATAGTGTGCAGGAGGAGACACTTGGACATGTTTTCAATAAATATTCTTTAATGGAGGGGTACATTATTATATGCCACTGAAACTAAAAGGAACACCTTTAAAAATATAAATGAAGATTATTTTCACACTTGATTTATACATTCAAACTGTTAACTGAGAAGATAAAATGCACTGCCAAAACATGCAAGATTACAAAGGTAAAGCCAGGAGTGGTGGTACAGGACTCTAGTCTCAGCACCTGAGAGGCAAAGGCAGATGAATCTATATGAGATGGAGGCCAGTCTAGTCTACATATTGAGTTCCTTCCCGGCTGGGGCTAGAGAGAGACGCCAGCTTCAAAAACCCCCACCAAACAACAACAATTACAAAAAGGTAGACTTTCTTTTTGAAACGGGGTTTTCTTGTAGCCCCAGCTGGCCTGGAACTCGCCATGTGAACCAGGCTGGTCTTAAACTCACTGAAATCCACCTGCCTCTGCCTCCTGAGTGTTGGGATTAAAAGTATGCACCATAACACCCAGCTACACAATGGTAGACTTTCTATTTCTTTGTAGGTTACTGGTGGACATGATTCACCAAAACGGGACAGAACAGATATACCTGAAGGAGAGAGATTAATCCAAAATCATAAAGTGACACCCCATATCCAGTCTGGCTCTCATTCTGAGCTGCACTAGAATAGGTACAGTTCTCCAGGTCACTGTACCTTTCCATGACTCCCCACCAAGGCACATGTTTCTCTCTGGCTAGACTCTGCATCCACTTCTGTAGCCTCCTCATGCTGGCTGAGAAACTTCTAGCAGGAAGAATGATGTGTTCAGTGTCATTACTGATTTCATAATCATCTCTGTCAGAAAGATACAAAATCTCTGGCCCAGGGGCAGCACAGCAGGTCCACATATGTGCTCTTACCACTAGGCCACCCACTACCCCAAGTGCTGGCCACACTGGGAATAGAAGTTGGAGACGTGGTTCCCAAACTGCACCGAGGCACTCCCAGTACCAAAGCAAACTAACAGGGTTATGAGGAGACATGCTAAATTTTGTAAAAAGGAGTATCTGTCCAACATTTCTGAGAGCCTTTGGCCCTAGAGATCAGGTTCCACATTGGTCATGCTATATTCCTTCCAATTACAACATGTCTTCAGTGAAGGAATTGGTGGTCACTGAGATAAACCCCAAGGACCACCTCAAAATCAATGTAACAATGGAAATGAGGGTGGTATACTCTGTTTCCAAAGTCGGAGAAGCAACCATAGTACCCAGAGTACCCATATCATCTCACTAATATGGGTTTGTCCTTGTAAGAATGAAACAGGAACATTATTTTTCCCTTTGAGTCAATCTGCTACTAAAATGCTGGGTCATAAATACATCTCAAATTGTTTTGGACCTAATTATCTGAAACTGTTAGGTAATTCTTTTCACAAGTGCACTGTGAAAACATTAATGAAACACTCTGTGCATGGGAACTAAAAACTGCCTAGTAACTTGAGATGGCAGGCATCTTAGGGAGTTCACTGTATCTAACTTTAATCAAAGTTCAAAGCCAGAACAATACTGAAATTTAGCTTTTGCTATGTTATAAAGGCACACCTATCAACTGTGAAAATTGTTCTCAAAGAAACATTTTTGTCTACGATTCAATAGAATACTCATGTTCATTTTTGTCATAATTTCTCTGCATTTCCTAGGAATATTTTTATGCACTGTCATAAAGATTTTTGTTTTTCAGGATCCTGCATGTCACTTGCTAATTTTTCATTCCATTGAAGGCTTTCTGTTAATTCAAACAGCCTGACCAATATCAACTCCAGAATGCTAAGACAAGTTTTAATATATCACTCTGCTCAAAATCCTTTGAAGGCTTCTAATGGCTTCTCCATACAACTGAGGTTCCATGTGGCAGACAAGGCCCTTCTAGATGGCTGCCTATGGGCCTCCTTCATAATACAGCAGCTCCCCAAACACTCCGCACACCTGTTGGTCTCAGTGCCTCCTCCAAACTATGTCCATATGCACTGTCCCTTTTAGAGTTCCCTATACTTTTCTACTTCTTCCCACCCTTCAGGGCTGGGGGCTTTATCAAGAGTTAATGTCTATTTACTCATAACTCACCTCAGACAGGCTGTAAGGGTGACGAGTATATAACATCCTCAATAAATTTTGATACATGTCTTCCAAACAAATGAACATGTTTCATCTATTACAAGACTGAAATGTTCTATTATTAAATTACCAGGGCTGGGGAGATGACTCAGTCAGTAAAGTGCTTGTCATGTAAGTATGAGGAGCTGAGTTCAATCCCTAGCACCTGTAAAAAGCAGAGCATGCTTATAATCCCAGTGCCTGGGAAGCAGAGACAGTCTAAACCCAAAATTATATTTCATACTGACCACATACATATAGTTCAAAAGTAATTTTATACAGTATTTTTGACTGGACTGTTACAGAAGAGCAGGTGCAGAATTCCCCATGTGTGGCATCATGCTGACACAAAGAGTTTGGATTAGAGATACACAACCTGTACCTGTTTTTTCTACCCTCCCATCAATACCAAGGATCATCTCTTAAAATCTTATCTAACTCTTGGGTTGTAAAAATTGAAACTCCTTGATTATGTAGTAAAAATACCTTTTGAACTACTTACTGGTAATTTGCAATGTTTTATTTGTGGATCATTCACTCTACTCTTTACCTGTACTTGTTTCTCAATAATTCTGTAATCTTTTCCTTTTGTATGA